AGCCCTCCTGCTCTGCATAGTCAGTGGTCTTCAGGTCCAGTCCCCAGCCCACACCCCATTTTGACTGTGAGCAGGTGGGCTTCAGGATGGAGAAATTTGTGACCGCAGTCCTGCAGGTGGCCACAGCCCAGAGCCTTCCGGAAAGTGTGGGCTAGGGAAAGGGACAAGGGGCTTTGGGAGGGAGGGAGCCAACCCTTCACACCCCGCTGCTGCCGACCTGCTGGCCATCAGCACAGGCGGTGCCCTCACAGTGCTCCTTGACTGCCTAACGGCCAGAGTGGTGGCCTTTCCCACTGGGCATTGCCTCCACCTCCCCCTGAGGGCTGCCCGCCCCGCCACAGGCCTCAGCCCCAGTGAGGGCTCCCTGCACTGAGCACAGGCCTGGGCGTGGCATGGCGAGGACTGGCCACTCCAAGGGCAGCGCTAGAGCCCATGCCACCCAGGTGCGGCTTCATCTCTGCCCTGGCCTTCCACCTTCCCCGTGCAGGGGCCTGGCCCTCACTTGGAGTGATTATGGGAATTGGCCCTCTTTAAAGTACCTGCCTTCTCCTTTGAAAGTATTACTGACAGCTTTTTTCATTCTTTTTTTCTTACCTCTTTAAGTAACCCTGTAATTTTTTTCTTTCTCCCCCCTTTCCTTTTTCTTTCTTGTCCCCTCTGTCTCCCTGAACTCTTTGAAATTGGCTCTCTGCCTGCTGACACCAAACTGATACTTTGCGTTTCACTTCTCCTTATCCCTTTATGGCAGCAGATGTTGAAATTTTGTATCCTTTTATCTGCGGGGCTGTCCCTTCCTGTAATTACGGCCCCCTTGTTAGCAGTACAAAGTGGGCTGCCCGGCTGCCTGGCCTTTGAGCCATTGTATGGGAACACGTGTGCACAGGCGGGTGCTGGGGGTGCACACGCACGTGCATGAAGTCGCTTCCCTCTCACCTGGTGGGGCCGGGCGAGTCTCCTCCTGCGTACTTACTCTGGGGTCCTGTTCCCTTGGTTTTCCCTGGCTGCATTCAAGGGGCAGGGAGAGGCATGTGGGCCCGGTGGGGGTTGCGGGTGGCCTGGCAGTTTGCTAGGGCAGGGGGGTCCCGGGCCTGACTGGGGAGCACCCCCAGGAACAGCGTGAAGACCTGCCCTCTGCCTACCAGACATGCAGCCTCCGTGATCCTGTTTGCAAAGTGGGTTAGGACACCTCATAGCAGCCCTGACCTTGAGGCAGGAAGATCACGTAGTCACCTAGTAGGCCGCTAAGAGGATGATGTGAGCTGTTCTCTGGGGCATTCTGCACAGCCTGAGGCCCAGACACCTCTGGTGAGTCGCTGCACCGGCTAACATGCATCACTGCGCCTGCCGTGTGCAGACCCGTGAGAGAATGCGCCTTTGGGCTTCTCTACTCCCGCCAGCCTGAGTGCTGCTGTGCGGACTGGGGCTCTGCCTTTTTCTGCTGTGTGGCTTTAAGAAAGTCACCTCCTGGGCCAGGGATTTAGCTCAGTGGTTCTGCCGCCTGCCTTGCAAGCACAAGGTCCTGAGTTCGATCCCTGGTACCAAAAAAAAAAAAAAAAAAAAAGGCACCTCCTGTGTAGCCCTTGGTTTCCTTATCTGCAATCAGGGGCAAAGACTGGGACCACCTCGGGCCAGGTCCTGCAGAGCATTCCCCTCACTGCCGACCTGTCAGGGCCTCTCACTCCTGTTATTGCCTGACACTCACTGAAGAGCCTGCCATTCCCCTCGGCCAGAAATGCTTTCCCGTGTGTCCTCTCACAGAACTTCCGTCCCCTGTAGTCCCTGGCAGGTTGTGCCTTGTGTTGCATCTGTGATTCACACTTCTCGCCCTCACTGGACCGAAAGCTTCCTGAAGGCAGGGACAGTGCCTCCTTGCCAGAGCTCACCTCTCCTTGCACTTGCTGTTAAACACAATGCCTTGGATACAGAAGGCTCCGGGTTAATGGCTGTTGGGGCCAGTGACAGAAGGAAGAGAGGCCTGGCTCACACCTTCAGGCCATTTGTCCTCTGGGGGGCAGAGATGTAAGAAGGTGAACTGTCCCCTTCTATCCCCGGTCCCCCAAAGCCACTGTTGCATTTCAGGGTAGCATGTGCACACTCCCAGGGCCCCCCCGGGAGCATTGTCAGGAGCCTGGTATATTATCCAAGATGGCGTGGGAGCCCCTGGCACGGGGGAGTGTATGGAGCGTGGATACGAGGGCTTGGCGGGGGCCGACTGAGGGCAGGGCTGGGTGCCTGCGCCTGACTCCAGCTGTGCATCCGGGGCTCTTCCAAATGGGCCGACCAGGTGTTCGGAAACAGGTCTGCGAGCAGTTAGCGGCCCCACAGGGTTTTACATTTCCCTCCGTGCTGGTGGGCAGCAGGTTCCCCTCTCCCCCTCTCCAGCTGCAGGCGCCTGGGCAGCAGGGGCTCTCGGGCTTTGGCACTGGTGGCAAACCTATGGCACATGTGGCGCAGCGGGAGTGCAGAGCCTTCTTGCAGCACGTGAGCCAAGCCTCAGATATTGGGGTTAAATTGCAATGTTGGCTTCTTCCCGTAAATAAGTGGGTTTTGGGGTGCAGGCTGGGCGCTCGGGCTGTAAAAGCTTCGCTATCACTGGGCTAGGGGAGAGACGGAGCAGCGGCGTGGCTGCGCTGTGTGCCCTTCCTCCTGCCCAGGTCCAGCCTGCCGCGAGTGGGCGACCCCGGCTGTCTTTGCCTCACACTGGGTTGACAGCGCATGTCAGAGTCCGGCATGCGGAGACTGGGATGGGGGCGCTCCCAGCCCGCGTGGCTCCTGGAGGCCCAGGCTGCGTGTGCAGCGTGGGCGGGAAGGACTGTTTGCCCTGAGCTCCTGTCTCGGCTGGGGCGCTGCGAGAGGCCAGGAGGCATTCTTAACATTCTTTGCAGAGAAAGGGGGCGAAGCGTCTGAATTTGGGGTCACCACATTATACAAATTGCAATCTAACCGTTTTTTACAAGAACACGCTTCAGTAAGAAAAGGAGCCCAGGAGGAGGGAATGAGGGACAGACAGCTGGTTTTGTCCCCTTCCCCCCCAAGTTTGGGGCTATTGTTGGGCCGCTCACTCCCTCCACCGTGCAGTGCAGTGCAGCTAGAGTTCTCTAGTTAAATTGGGCCTGGGGTGGGGCCTCTGAGGGCCCACAGTGCCATTTGTTTGTTTTCCCAAATCAAAGCCCCAGCAGGACTTCTATGGCACCGCTGGGCCACTATTTGAAGAGACAGGCCATTTCCCAGAGCCTGGCGTGTCCGTTTATGCTCTGAACTTAACCTTACAAGCTCTGCACCACAGAGCCTTGAAGGCCCTGGGTCTAGAGGTAAAAGAAATTGTATCTTTTTATTGGCCCATTGAACGTGTGTGTGGCCATTTCAGAGAACCAGAGGGCAGGACAGAAGCTCCCAGCCGGGCCTTGGCCAAGCCAGGCTGGCAGACAAGGGGCACAGGGGCTCGTCCTGACCCCTAGTGGGTGGTGCTGAGGGCCCCTTCTCATCCGTGGAGGCTGGGACTGGCAGAGCCCGGGGGGCAGTGCGGTCTGGCTGTACCCCTTCATGCTGCCGGCCCTGGGTCGCCCCACACGGATGCCCAGCTTGCCTTCGCTGGGAGTCCTGGGGCCAGGTGGGCAGGCAGCATCGTGCTGCTCCTCCCCCAGTTCTCTGCCTTTCATCTTCCATTTCAAACAGACAAACATGAAATTACTTCCACAGATTAAAGGGGAGAAGGCCTCACTAATGGAGGGGGTAGGGCCCCCAAATCTAGAAGGCGAGGGACGAGAACTGTGGAGCACAGCAGCCCCACACGGTATGCAGATGCGTGTACGGTGAAGAGAAGACCGAGTCGATTCCACCCTCCTGTCCCAAGTGTCTGTCGTAGGCTTCTCCAGGAGCCAGCTCCGTGACCTCAGAGCCCCAGGGAGAGGCCTGTCCGCCCACACACACTAGCACTTGGCTGCTGGGGGGAAGAGGTGTGCCGACTGGAGGCGTGCCCAGGCCTGGCGCTGCAGAGCACTAGCGCTGCATGAAGGGGAGCGGCCCAGGCGAAGAACCCAGCTGCCTCCTTCCCCCCATGCCTTCAGCCTTTGGGAAGACAGCGGTGAGGGCGTGCAGTGGGGCCTGGCGCTCAAGGCTGCCTTCAGACCGGTGGCTGGAAGGCTTGCGTGCCCTGGCCTTTTGCTGTGCTGTGGGCCACAAAGTCCTCTCACCCCAGGCCAGGGTCTTACCCGGGTGTCTCCTGGCGTGGGCAGAGGAAGCTGAGGCACTGGCCCGGAGGGCGCCCCTTCATTCCCCTGGCGCCTCACCTCAGGATTACCGGGTGCACTTGATGTTGGGGGGTAGTTGCTAGGGCCGGAGGCCCCCCTCCGTGGTTACTAGGGGTCTGGCATGGGGCAAGGGGTCTGCCCACTGCCGCGGTCACGGAGGGAATTACAGCCACAAAGAGATTGTTCTCAGTAATCTGCTCTCGGCCGCCGGGTGGGGTAAGGGTGGAGGAGCAGGCCGGGGCTGTGATCACAGAGGCGTGCTGGCCCGGGCTGGGGGCCAGAGGCCTGGAACTCCGGGGACCAGCACACTAAGCTGCTTTCTCAGCGATTCCTCTCCCCAGACACAAAGGTGTTTGCTTGTTTTAACATCTCCCGGGACGCCCCTTCTCCCTTTGTGTGGTCTTTATTCCCAGTGAGGTTTGAGCCCAGATTACAGGCAGGAATTAAGGCACTGGACTCGGGCAGCTCAGAACTGCATGACCTGCGGGATCAAGAAGTAGAAAGTAACCGCGTGTGCGCGGGAGGGGGCCGGCCCTTCAGCAAGGCCCATTCATCGCCGAGTGGCGGGCAGTGGGCGGCCTGCGCGCAGGTGTGAGGGAGGGGCTGCCCTGCCGTGTGCCCCCCCCCTCGTCCGCCCGTCCGCCCGTCCGCAGGGAGTCGTCAGCCCAGACAGGAGCGCTGCTTGCCCCCGAGGTGTGGCGCCATCTGCAGGCCCAGTGGGCTGCTCACCTCTGCCCTTGCCCTCCTCAGCGGGCAGCTGATGACACACCTGGGCAGTGACTTCCCCCCAGGGGCTGGGGTGCTGGACGTCACGTACGAGTCCCCTTCTACACTGCTGTCCTGTGGCTACGACACCTATGTACGCTACTGGGACCTTCGCACCAGTGTCCGGTGAGCATGCGGGGTGGCAGGACACAATGCCAGTGCCGGGGCAGCCCTTTCTCAGCTGCCCCCAGCAACTGGCCAGCCTCTGGGGCACCTAGCTCCCCCCACAGTCCTATGCCAAGTAGTGGGCCCTGTGGGAACAGTCTGCTCCCCTCCAGGGCCTGGGGAGTGTCCTCTACTTCCGAAGACACCCTCTCCGGTGAGTTTGTGGTTATGTGGGTGTGCTGGCAATCCCACTGAGACGGCAGGGTTGCAAGTTTGAGCCCAGCTCAGGCAACTTAATTTCTCAGTGAGTCGGGCTGGGGTGGGGATGTCCTGGGTTCAATCCCCAGTGGCAGTGAGGGGAAGATCTATGATTCAGGCTGCTGCCGCCCTGCATTTCTGTTCCCCGCACAGGAAGTGCGTCATGGAGTGGGAGGAGCCCCACGACAGCACCCTCTACTGCCTGCAGACAGATGGCAACCACCTGCTGGCCACAGGCTCCTCCTACTACGGCGTGGTGCGGCTGTGGGACCGGCGCCAGAGGGCCTGCCTGCACGTGAGCACCCGCCTGCCTCCCCCTGCCTCCCGCCTGCGGTGCCGGGTGGGTGGGGTGTTCGGGTGGGCGAGGGCTAGAGGAAGCGACGACGCTGGCACGTGACCGTTTCCCTGGGCTTGCACGCGGGTTCTCACTTGGCAGAGTCCCCATTTCCTGTCCCCTCCCTCCAGGCCTTCCCGTTGACCTCGACCCCACTCAGCAGCCCTGTGTACTGTCTGCGGTTCACCACCACGCACCTCTACGCTGCGCTCTCATACAACCTCCACGTCCTGGACTTTAAAAACCCGTGAAGAGACGGGCCGCCCACCCGCCCGAGGGCCGAGAACCGCCTACCGCCCCTGCCTGGAGCCTGTGGTGCTGCTCCGCCCTTGCCCTGTCCTGTTCCCTGCCCTGCGGCCACAGTGATCGGGCACCTGAAGTGGCAGCGTCTCCTGGGGCAGGGTCTGGAGGCGCAGTGAGCAGCTGGGACTGCGGGTCTGCCCTCGCCCCGCCCCTGCGCCTCCCTGGGCAGCCTGCAGGGCAGGGGAGCTGCCACCTCCTGTCAGGCCCCTCCCGGGACACTGTGGCCGGCTTGCACCTTGGGCTCTGCGCTAGCCCTGCACCGCAGGCAGGCTGTGGAAGCACGCCGCTGCTGTCGTTTTTGTAAAAATAAAGCTTGGCTGTTTCACACATCTAGTTCCTCACTGGCCAGGTCATGCTAGAAGCGATGGAGGTGGCTAAGCAAAGGCTGGCCTCTGCTCTTTCCTTCCGAGTGCTGCCCCCAGCCCACCACCCTTCGGGCTGTGATGGGGACCTGTGGGAGCGCTCCTGGGTGCTGAGGCAGGCGCTAAGCTGCTGGCACCGGTGCTCACCCCAGCACACACCCTTGCAGCACTGAGCCTTATCTGAGCTTTCCACCCAGAATATCTTAACATTCCAGCTGTTTCCAAGGTTTCTGTTTCCTCATAACTGCTCCCTTGCCCACACTTCCACACTTACCTTAGGGAGTCATGCAGGCAGGTTGGGAGAGAGGCCCTACCCTGCTGGCTGCCCAGCCTCTTCGTGAGGCAGACAGGTTTCTGTTCAAAGTCCCAGGAGGGAGGGGAATGTCATACCAGTGCCCTCCCTAGGGAGGCTGGGGCCAGGCAGGCAGCACACAAAGCTGGACAGACGGCAGCCCATCTGCAGTAACTCAGAAGGACTTTACTGGGGAAGTGGGGCTGCCAGTGCCCCTGGGCCAGTGCTCTCGGCTCTGGGTGGCTGCCCCACACCACAAGGCCAGGCCGAGTGTCGCAAAAGCCTCCACCAAGGTGTAGGGCGGGGCCAGCTACTGGGTCTTACAATCTCCGTCATCGCTGTGGGCTGTCTGCACCTTCTTTAGCTCTTTCTGTAGCTCTGACTCTGCCATCAAGATCTCCTTTGGCTTCTCATACTGTAGGTAGAGCCAGAGAGAGAACAGTTCAGTTACACACTCACACTTGGGCCCCTTCTGATCCCCTCACTACACAGGAGGAAACAGGCACACAAAAGTCAAGTCATTTGCTCAGGTCACACGTGGCTGGGTAGGAGCATTCCTGGGGCCAGAACCTACGTCCTGAGACCTCCACCAGGTCCCCTTCCACCTGTGCCTCCTCCACTGGAGATGCCTGATCTCCCGGGCACCTCGGGGTAGGGAGACACTAAGGACTGGAAGTGGGCAGGGGAAGAGGAGCCTCTCCCCCACGTTGGAGCAGAGAAGTCTGGGTGAATCTTACAGAGATTATCAGGGTGCAGTTGGCATGAGCAAAGCTCAGCAAGGACTCATCCAGGGGTAGCTGGTGTCTGTCTAGGTCAGGAACGGAGAACTTCTTGTAGTACCTGTGGGGACACCAAGAGGCTACTGGGGCACCTAGCAAGGTGACCTCAACATTTGGCTACCAGGCCCTCTGCCGCGAAGCTTCCACGCAGTTCTCCCCCAACCTTCCACACAGCCAAAGGCAGAGGGGAAACCAGGTAGAACAGCAGCAAAGAGGATGCTGTCCTTATGGCCCATCCAACACAAGGAGTACAGAACCAGTTAGTGGCATGGTTAGGCAGGGTCCGAGTGATTCCCACCACAGGACTCAGACTCCCACAGGTAACAAAGGGCTCAGACAGCTGGGGCCTTCTCTGCACCCTGAGCCTCGTGGGGCAACAATACAGGATGTGTCCTAGCAAGGGACAATAGAGACAGGATTTTGGGGGTATCTCCCAAAGCTGGGGACCTACAGTCACCATTTACATGGAGCCTCAGCTACCTTTTCCTCTTCCAGGGTCTTTTAAGAGGCTTTGTTAGTCTGACTCATAAATGTGAGAGAAAAGTACATCTGAACAGAAATCTCCTTGGGAGGACAACTCCACGACTCATCACAGAAGCTGGGTCTCAGGTTCTGGACCACATCACTGGGTTCTAGACCACCCGCTGCATTATTACTCTCCACATGGCCCTGTCATCTTCAGCGCCAGGCCAGGCATTAATGATCCCTTTTACTAAAACAAGCAGACAAAAACCAACAGCAGCACCAAGCCCATGATATGATCAGTGGACTCCCAGGGAACTTGGACCCTTTGTCAAAGAGGAAACTGCTTGGCCAGATGCTCTCGCCTCGCAGCCAGCTGTCAGTGGATTCAGAATCAGGGTCGGTGGACAGCTCCTTGCTCCTGCATCATCCCCCTCATCCCTAATAGGAGGCCAGCTAGGCATGTTCTTTGGTGGGCAAGGCGTCACTGCAGCAGAGGAAATGCTTCAGGCAGGCACAGACAGACTCAAGTGAGGAGCCTGGAGAGGCCTGGTCCTCTGACAGCTACCTTGAGTCCACTTCAAAGGCCACGATGCCCTGGGGACTTGGAAAGTTGACATCAATGCAGCACTTCTGCCCCTGTCCTCTGCCCAAATCCCTCGGTTCAGTAGAGGTTCTGGCCTCTCTCCTCCCAGCGTCCTCACTCTCCACAAGGTGTTGGGACCCACGGCAGGAAAAGAATGTTTACTTAGAAGCTGACAGTTCAAAAGGAGTGGGGGCTGGGGGGATCCTAATGGCACCACAAGTTGCTTTCTTTTCCAAAGCTCTGCCCCAGGGAAAGGCAATCCATCTGGCCGCCAACGGGTGGAATGCCTGCCACATCCTCTTCCTAGCCAGCAAGGCTGAGGGCTCTTCCTGGGGCCCTTGGTCTGTCCAGCAAAGGTGGCAGACACTGATAATAGAGGGGAGTCAAAGGTTAAACAGCAGAGATTAGGTGAACACAAAGGCTTGTTAGGAAGTGTTAACATCTTCCCTGCAAATATACACAAAAGGCAGAACCAGAGGAGAAGTAGCACCCACCCTGCCTCACCCCACTCCACCCAGGCTGGGATCTCAGGGCTGGGTCTCGATGGCAGTATCAGATCAGAGGGAAGTTGAGGTGCGTGCTTGCCCTGTTCCTTGTCCTGCTCCTACCAGCAGGCCCACGGGCTCAGCTTTGCTGTGGGTCTGGGTCCGATACAATGGATTTGGCTTATTGGGTGAGTTAAACAACTCCTAGACCCCTGACCGCTGAGCTCTAGGGGCATAAGGGGTGGCTGCTTTCTCTCCTGGGCAGCCTGGTACCTTCTTGTGTCTGTGTGTGCAGCTTGACAGGGTCTGCACTTGACTTTCTTGGTAGCACCTAGACAAGAGCACCGCCCCCTGCCCCCATGTTTCTGGAAAAAAAAGCGAGAACCCTCAGCCTCAGGCAGCTCTAGGTAAGCAGCTAACATTTACCGAGCACCTACTGTGTCCTAGGCCGTGTGGTTGCCTGCATAGACCTTGCTTTGTTTCTGCTAGAAGCTAAACCATACAGCAGGGGAGTTCCCAGCTGCCCACAGACAGCCAGACAGCGAAAAAAAGAAAGATGACATTTCTTATCTCTCCCCCCTCCCTCCCTCCCTCCCTTCCTTCTCTTTTTTTCCTGCTGCTGGGAATGGAACCCAGGGCCTCGAAGTGCTAGACACATGCTCTACCACTGAGCTACATTCCCAGCCCAGGGATGACGTTTCTTAATTTAATGCTTTCTTGTGCAAAGCACTGTTCTAAACACAGTTAATCCTCCAAACAACCCTCTCAGGTTGGTTACTTTTATTACCCTCTTTTACAAAGAGACAGGCACAGAAAGTTAGGTTTGCTGCCCTAATAACAAAATTATTACATGTAAAAGCCTTTATCATCAGTGAATTCCCCAAATCTCAACCTCTGCAGCCCCACATTCTGCCCGCCTGTCCTAAACCCCCTACATCCAAGGCACAGGGACTCTGAAAAGTGAGGGTGCTCAGAAACGGACGGGTCGTCTGCCCTGGGGTCCAGCCCCTGCAAGTCCCCCTGGCATTCTCCAGTGGCCCCCCTTTCTCAGTGTCCCCAGTGTGCAAAAGGCTTGCAGTACGACTAATGGCCCTGCAGGCCAGTTAATTTCTGGGCCTGTTTCTTCCTCTAAATTCCTCCCTCAGGTCAAGGAGCTGCACTTGATAAACCTGAGCCACTGTCCAAGGGTCCGTCAGGTCAACTCCAAAGCTCTTATTCCTGTGCCAAAGGACAGCTCCTTCAGAAACGGTCTCCTGCCTCCACCTCGCTCTCTCCTGTCCCCTCCCCAACTCCCACCCTTCCTCACCTGCTCTCCCTTGCATCCACGGGGCCCTTAGCAGGAAAGCTGTGGGGAGGGCTGTGGGCGTGCAGACTGTGTGGACAGTTGCCCCGCCCCACACACCCCTGCTCTGCACGCTGGCATGGCAGAGGTGCCACCTGTGGGGTCCAGTCATGCAGGCTATCTTTAGGCCCCGATTCCAGAAGACTGCTGAGGCCTGCTTCCAGGCCGCCCTGCAGTCTGTGAGCCAGGTGTAGCTGGCTCCTGTGTTGGATGAGGAAACTGTGCCAAATACAAGTCCTCCAAGGCTGAGCCAGACTTAGGCCAACGTCTTCCTACTCCGGCACCCTGGCTCATCCCACTCCCAGCTGCCAGCTTCTAGGCTGAGGCTAGGAGCCTTTTCTTTCCACATTTTTATTAGGACCTCACAGTGCCACCCAGGACTCCTTCCCTGATTCATCCCTCCTTGAGGCCAAGGACATGGCACTAGAATCAATTCCTTCACGCCAAGTGGCCAGCTCGGTTCTCCAGGGATAGGGCAGCCACGGACAAAGCCATTCTAGAGGACCTGAACTGGGGCCGACATGGAAGCTCCAGGTAAAGAAAGGTTGGATCAGAGAAAAATGAATGTCATGCTGTGGTGGACACGGGCACAGCTCTCCTCTCACCGTGCTGACTTTACACATCATTCGCACAACCGTTAAGATAGCAACAAGAATGAAGTCCTCGCCTTGCCCACCTGTGGATGGTGTGATGATCGGGAAACAGACTATAACAGCGCCCGGAAAAACCTGCAAACCCTGCTCACAGGACGAGCCGTTGAATGAGCTGGTGTGCAGGTACAGAATACATTACTCCAAGTAAAGGTGAAAACATGGGACTCAGAAAGATCTGGTTAAAGGTGCGGTGACCTCTTCCACCTACCTCCAAACACAAGGTCCACAGGGGCGGGACTGAGCCAGGCTGAGACTCTGGGCCCCAGAGCAGTTGTGTGCAAAGTGGGCACTGAAAGCTGGGCGTGGTGGCACCCGCCTGTGATCCCAGCACTCAGAAGGCCGAGGCAGGAGGATTGGCATGAGTTTGAGGCCCGCCCGGACCACACGGTGAGTTCAAGGCCAGCCTGAACTACACAGTGAGACCTTGTCTCAAAAAAACAAAAAAAAGTGGGCACTGAAATACTCCTCTCCCCTTTGTAGAGTCCCTCTCTCCCAGGGCACCAGTCCTGTCCCTCCTGGCCTCCCCAGCATTTCAAAACTGGCCCTGGCTCCTACCTTTGGGACTGGAATGGGCATCTGGCCACGACGCTCTGGGCCAACAGCGCCACCTATGGTTAGATGCATGCAGGAGACGGGGCCCAGAGGACCTGGTCGAGGATGAGTTTTTGGTGAGCTAGCTAGCCTCTCCTCACTCACTTGTAATCACATTTCTGCCTGATATCTGTATTCGACAGTGACCTCTGGGGGACAGAAAGGAGGCAGCAGCCAGCTCCACAAAGTGCTAAGCTGCAGATTCAAATGCTATCAGAGGCACTTTTGTTCCCAGTTTGGACCCAGGGCCTCTGATGCCAGGGAATGCTTGCTGAAGCACGGAGTTTGTTTTCCTACAGGCAATTTCTCTGTTGTCTGAAACTGCTAAATTCCACTTTAGGCACTGACTCCTGTTAATGATGAGAACAATAACAGGAATAAACTGCCTTTTATCTGAGGGCTTCAATGTTGCTTTATAAATGCAAACCCTTATTATTATGACTTTATATTTATAGACAAGGCCCACTGCAGGGGCCGCTGGCTGCATGTACAGCAATAATCTTGAAATTAATTCATTCATCTCCTCCCCTTCCCAGGTCCCCTTAACCCTGCCAAAGTGATGGGTTATGGGGTCACAAGAGAAGGCCAGAACCCAGGCCTGCACTAGGGGAAACTGAAGGTTGCCCTGCTTCCCTGTGGGCCTCATGGACCTAAGGGAGAGGACAGGGAGACCAGGGTCACACCTCCAGGAGAGGGACAGAAGCAGTGGGTGGGTACAGGCACCTCTGGGCTAGGCACAGTACCCTATGAAGCATGCTGGGTAGCTTCAGAGCTTTCAGATTGGTAACTAAAAGACCCACTGGCCAGGCACAGTGGTGCCCACCTGTAATCCCAGCACTCTGGGAGGCTGAGGCAGGAGGATTGCAAGTTTGAGCCCAGCTTGGGCAACTTAGTGGCTAAGCGAGATGCTATCTCAAAATAAAAAAATTTTTAAAGGGCTGGGGATGTAGCTCAGTGTGAAGGCCCTGGGTTCAACCCTTGGTATCACCAATATAAACCAAACTTCCCACTGCAATTCACACAGCCATTTCCTGGGAGTTGGCCCCACGTTAGAAGCTCCTGGGATCAGTCAGAATTCAGATGCGATTACCTAGCTGGCCACCTTCTGCCCTTCACCCCCACAGCGCTGCAGAGAGAGGCCGAGTGCCCCTCTGAAACAATGCGAGAGACTTCCAAGGAGGCACAGCATTTGGCACGGCCCTGAGCCCAGGAGACCAGGCCGCGACTGCCCAGTCCAGTGCTGCGAAGCCCTGCATCTGCCGCTTCAGACGGTGCTGCCTTCCAGGCCATGGCTCCCTGCCAGCTCTGACGGCAATGTCGCCAGGCTAAGTTTCCAATGGACTGGATCCAGCCAGGAGCTCACAGTCACATAATCTTACCGCAGAACAGCCCGAGACTGCAAGTTAATGGCCACATGGCTCCTCATCCCCTTATTCAACAAGTGTTTACTGAGTCCCAGCCTGTGCCAGGTACTGTTAGACATGCGTTCCAGTTCCCCTTCCCTGACAGGAAGCCCTTTCCCCTCAGTCCTCTGCTGCCTCCCTCTCTCAGGGTTGGAGGAAGAGGCCGCTCTACCCTCCCATGCAGTCTAGGATGCAGCCCACATACCACTTACTTTTTGTTGCTTGTCCTGACAACAATGCAGCGCTCCTTTGGGGCCACACAGACACTGTAGACATCCTTAGGATAGGGGAGGTTCCGGATCCGCCACTGGAAAGTCATCTTGGTGTCCTTGCGCATGAAGACAGGCTGTGGAAGGCAAATCCAACCCAAGAACTGCTCTTGGGGAAGGAAGGGAAGGGGCGTCTCCCACCCTCCCCAGAGCTCTACCAGATCCAGATGGGAACCCTTGGCTCTCCAAGCTCCCTCGGGCGGGAACTGCTGTGACATTCTCGGTCTTTCCCTGGGGAGGCCAAGCACCCTGAGGAAGCCTTCAGCCATTCGCTCAGTGTCTGGGGGGGTGCCCTGGAGATGAGGGGTATGCAGGTCGTGGCCCCTACCCAGGGTCAGCAGCCTCCCACCCAACAGCCCTGGACATACACTGGCACTGGTCTCCTTGATGAGCTCGAGCCCCAGGCTCCCCGCTCCTGGGGGCACTGGCTCTCCCACTTCAAGCCGCCACTGGCCCAGGGCTCCCAGGGCACTTTTCACACGCCACTTTCTCACTGGGGAAAGAAGCAATGGGATTACAGGAAGAAACCGTCTCTGCTTACAGAGCAGAAAGCATCACTAGCACCTCCCGAGGCCACGGCAGCACATGGAGGTGGGAGCTCTGCATCTGGGCACACGTCTGCGTCAGAGCCCTCGCAGGTGTGGTTGGAGAGGCTGAAGAGCTCTGCAAGGGCAGCTCTTCGAGGGCCACATGGAGTCAAGATGCTCTCCTGGGAGGCATGGAGCAAGAAGACTGAGGGCTAGGAGTGGTGAATCCAGGTAATGCTGTGTCTAGCTTAAAAATCGCAGAAGCTATACTTAGGCCAATCTTGGGCTCTGGTGTATAGCTCAGTGGTACAGCGCTTGCCTAGCATGCACAAGGCCCTAGGTGCTAACTCCAGCACTGTAAAAATGAATGAACAAACAAAATCTTAGGCACACATTGTATTTTATTTTATTTTTATTTATTTATTTTTTTGGTACCGGGGATCAAACTTGGGTCTTTGTGCTTGCGCAGCAGGCAGCGGAACCACTGAGCTGAATCCCTGGCCACACATTGTATTTTAAATGCACTACTTATAAAAGGTCTATGATTTTTTTTTTTTTGGTACTGGGGATCAAATTGAGGACCTTGTGTTTGTGAGGCAGGTGCAGTGCCACTGAGCTAAATCCCCGGTCCAGGTCTATGATTTTTTATAAAACGATATTTTATATTTGCCAGCTTATGATGCAAAAAATCTATTTTCCTTTTTAAAATCCAGATGTTTATATAAGAGTTTTTAAAAATAAGGCACATATGTTAAGAAAATTATAAATCCAAGAACTCCAGTAACTCAATGGGTATTACCTAGAGAGCCTGCTGGGAAGCTCGCTCACTCAGTCCTTCCTGGTGACTGCTGTCCCACAGCCTGCCACTGCGGGGGACCCTCCCCAAGGCACACCCCGCTCCTGGCTGCCGTCGGGGCACCGTCCAGCCTGACCAGCAACCTCTGCAGTGCTGCGAGGAGCTGAACCGTTCACAAAGTGCCCTTGCAGCTGCCAGTTTCCACCTGCGGCTCTTTTCTCGGGTGGGGCAAGCTAGAGGTGGCAGTGCCCCCCCAGTCCTCGCACCAGCCAAGCAGATGGCCTGCCACCGGACCTTCCAAGCAGCGACACCAGCCCCACTGCTGTGCGGAAGGCCCTCGAGCCAATCACAAAAGTATGTTGCAGGGCCGGGGATTTAGCTCAGTGGTTCCGCTGCCTGCCTCGAAAGCACAAGGACCTGAGTTCGATCCCCAGTACCAAAAACAAAACAAAACTAAACAAAACAAAATGGCTGGGGATGCTGCTCAGTGTGAAGGCCCTATATTCAACCTCAGTACCACAAAGGAAAAACAACAGGCAGGAAATTAAACTTAAATTAAACTTTTCCCCAGGCATATTGATAACAGTTATCAGAGGATGCTCAGAGGGAAGGCGGAACTGCACACACTGGGGACAACTTAGTGTGCTGCACAAGCACCGAGGCCTGAAGGGTGGGAGTCTCTTCAGGAAGCATCTGGTCCAGGGCTTGCATCTTGGCCCCCAATGCCTGTACTTTAAATATAAGAACTAGCATTTCCTCCCGTCTGCTCACCTTCAGCCCTTGCCACTACTTTCTAGGAGACAGAGTATGGAAAAGTACCAAGGAACAAAGAGGTCAATTTACAAAGGCCACAGTTAAAATTCAGTTTTCTTAAGCTCAAATCCAGAATTTAAATCATAAATGAAAGGCTAAACCATAGTCTATAATTGTTCAATAAACATACATAATATTTTTAAAGACTTCTTTAAGTAGCCCCATTTTCTTTTCCTATACTGGCCTTTAAAAGGCAAAGCTAGCTGGACATGGTGGTGGCGCACGCCTGTAATCCCAGCACCTGGGAGGCTGAGGCAGGAGGATCACTGCAAGTTGGAGGCCAGCCTGGTCTACATAGTGAGTTCAAGGCCAGCCTGAACTACACAGTGAGACTCTGCCTCAAAGAAAAAAAGGCAGAGCTCCGGTTATCTGAAAAAGTACTAATCACAAGGAAAACCCAGTTATCTGGGGCCAGAGACATGAGATGCCCTGGGATCATGGGTCATGGCAAACTGGCTGTCTAGAGCTATGTGGCAGAGTGATCCTGAGAGGCAGTGACCACTACAGGACCTCCTGTCCACTCCTCTATTCTGAGGAATGCTCGGTTTCCACCCAAACCTGCTGCCTCTTCACTTCTGACCTTAAAAGGTACTCAGGTCCCAGAGGCGTGGCAGCATTGGCGGCTTCATCTTTTTGAGGTGCCCTGGGATAAGTGATTTGTTAGATGTAATGCAGAAGATAGTTTCCCTTTCCAGTCCCTCAAGAGCTAAGATCCAGTAAGGATTTTGGCAAAGTTCTATTTTTCCCATTCATGTGGCCATGCACACACACGCAAAATACACCTTTTGCCTTTCCTTGTCCTGTCTTTGTTCCTGAACTCAAGGACAGCTTTTGCGGCAGCAGAAGACTGTTTCCACCTGCTGTCACTCTGATCTGATTATGTGTTAAACACAAACAGTGGGCCGGGCGGCTCCCTGGGATCTGCTGTCTCCCGTCTCCCAGCTGAGCCTCGGCCAGTCCTTGGGAAGGACACTTGCATCAACCCTGGGAAGGTCTGCCAGGTGTGAGGGGCAGTGCCAGGGGCTCCTTCCCAAGTCAGCAGGAGGCAAGCTGACGGCCCGACGGCTGCAAGAGGCCTCATCTTTCAGGTGGGCTGGAAAGTGGAGTCCTAACGGCCTCTTTCCCCCAAGCTCCAAGGTCTGGCCCACTTCCAATGCGGATAATTACATTCCCCTTTCCTAAATGCTCCCTGCAGCTTAAAATGGATGCAGGATTCTTTTCTGCCCTAAAACACTGCAACATTGCTATGTGGCTATTAAACAGCTGCCGAGGCCCATCCCTGAGGAGACTGAAGGGAATCGAGTGGGTCATTTATAAAGCTGCTGAAGTGCCTGGGGATGAAAGTGCTCAATATCCTCCAAATGCAGCCTGGGGTGGGTAGGCTGGCGGTCAAATACCAAAGCAGATTAAGCGGTAATCCCAATGTAATCGCTGGGGGACAGCCTGCCCTCCAGCCTCTGCCCCCTGACATGTTGTGTTCTTCCGGGGCTGGTTTGATGTTCCGATCATTGTTAGGAGGCCCTTCGGTCTGTTCCTCCATGAATACAGACAGCATTCATTGTGGGGGTGGGAATGAATAGGCCTGAGAGGGCAGGAAGAAGATGACACTAACATGCTTCCTGACGCCCGGTGGAGGGACTTCGTCCCACAGAGAGATGCACACCCAGTGGCAATTTCTCCTCTGTAAATTACCCTCTGAGCTTGTCCAATGGAAAACCAATCTGGCCAATTATCAAATGTGTACAGTTCGTTGGAAAAATCAAAACTATTTCCATTTACTGCCACAAAAACTATGTCTGTATTTTACTTCATAGTATGTACAAGTAAAAGCCAGCTTGGGCCCTGGGATTATTTATTCTTAAAAATTAACATGGTGCGTGCCTACAGTCCCAGCTATGCAGGAGGCTGACACAGGAGAATCACTTGAGCTCAGAAGCTTGAGCAGCCTGGCTACAGTGAAGCCCCATCTCAAAAAGATTACTATGATAAGTGTTCTGCAAGGGCAGCTGAGGGGGATGCAGGGAGAAGAGGAAGAAATGGGTCCACTGTGCATGCGCTGGGGCCTAGCAGCCGGAGAGGGTGTTCCTGGTGCTCGTCAGGGCCCCACTCAAGTTGTTCTTTGGAAAGAAATATTTAGTAAGAAAGTGGGATTTAATAATTCTTAACTCCCAATACTATGTTATTGTGCATTAAAGTATAGGCTCTTAACCAGATAGAATAATGCTTAAGTTTCCTGGCTCAGAAACTAACCAGCTATGCAAGTCTGACAAAGGTCTTTGAGCTTCTGTTTTTCCAGCTGTAAAATGGGGATGACAGCACCTATGTCACAGAGCTTTAATGAAGATGATTACATGCAAAGCGCGTGGCCTGATGCCCAGTGAGTTACGGGGTTAATGTCATTCCTAGGTAAACCTCAGCCAAGTGAGGCTCCCCGAGAGCAGAAGTGCCCTCCTCCAATTCTGCTTGTAAGAAAATGGAGTTTGGAGTCCACGACTCATCCCACCTGCCACTAGAAGTGACAGGTTAATGTGGGATACTGGGGCACAGTGCTACAAATGAACTTGGACTTGTTTTTAATTTTAATTTCATGCCCAAGCACAACAAAGAGGCATAGGTTTCATCTGTTTGTTTGTTTTACAGCCACCGCAGCTAGAGCTGCTTTATTTGCCCTGAGTAGGAAAGAAAGGTGATGCTGGGGGCTGGGCGAGGAGCTCTGGCCAGTCTCTGGCCCAGTTCTGGTCCCAGGCGGTTAGCCCACGTGACCTCTGCTTTCATGAGTTCTCCCCCGTTAGGCATTCCAAGGCTGTCACCCCCTGGGAGCACTATAAATTACAATGCAATCATGAGGGTATTACTACTGTATTGGTTTCCACCGCATCAGTGTCATATGCTAAACACATCAAGATTTTTAATAGCACCAGACTAACCCAGTTGGGACTGGAACCCAAGCAGCTCATAATAGGAAGGGATCGACACTTCCCTCTGCAACTGAGCGTGCGCAGGACACACATTTTAAGACTGGAGACTAAGAGAATACAAACTGGTATAATCCTTGCTGTCGGTTTGAGACATTTATGAGCTGTCAGAAAAAAGTAAAAAGAAATTCCCTCACCAATACTACATGTCGATCAGGCCCAGGAAGAAATTAAAGTCAAGAATAATGACAAGAAAATAATGCAGCCCATGATTCCATCATTGGTCTTAGCATTTCAGGTGCAACTTAATAAAGGAACCAACTCCCACTGCTGACAGCCTTAGGACCAGGGTCACAGAGCCAGGCACCTTGCTCTGGAAGACAAGAAGGGACAAATCAAGTAATCCCAGAAACCTGGGCTGGAAGCCCTGTTCACAAGCCTGTTCTGAGAGGGAAATGACAGTGCACCACAATCACCATTTCCACTCTCTCTGAGTCATCAAGATGAGGTGTTTGTTTGTTTTTCTGAAAAAGGAGATTGAAGAAGACAGAGAAAATAGACATCCCCTGTTCCTGGATAGGCGGAACACTGTCAAAATGGTCATACTTCCAAAGCTGATATATAGATTTAACACAATTCCAATCAAAATACCAAAAGCATTCCTCACAGAAGTAGACAAAACCATGCTAAAATTCACACAGAACTGGGGAAGAACCGGGGAAGACTCAGATCAGCAAAAGCAATCCTGGTAACAAGAACAAAGCGGGAGGCATCACAATCCCACATTTCAAGTTCTAGTACAAAGCTACAGTGATCAAAATCACTGGCACACGCTGAGGATGCAGGTCAGTGGTACAGTGCCTGCCTGGCAAGTGCAAGGCCCTGAGTTTGATTCCTGGTACAAAAAAAAAAAATTTTAAAACACTGGCACAGAAACAGACCCATGGATCAACAGAGCAGAGGACTCAGAAATAGCCCCAGACACATTCAGCCACCTAATCTCTGACAAAGGGGCCAAAACAAACCCTGGAAGCTGTCCACATGCAGGAGACTAAATCTAGACCCATGTCTCCCACCATGCACTAAACTAAAATAAAAATGGTTCAAAGATCTAAACATTAAAACAGAAACTCTAACCTGCTGGAAGATAAGGTAGGTAAAACTCTGGAAGTCATAGGCATAAGCAAGGACTTTCTGAACAAAATCCCAACTATATAAGAAATAACATCAAGAATCAACAAATGTGCACAGGAAGACAAACAACAGAAAGAAGACAGAACCCACAGAATGGGAAAAAATTTTACCAGCTTCTCCTCTGCCAGAGATCCCTGTAGTCAGGTTCCAGTCCCCACCTGCCCAGTGAGCAATGCAGGCCTGAGGAAAAAACACACTAAAAGACAGAACTAGGAGAGAGAAAGCAGGGGCCAGGACGACAACCAATGCCAGTGCAAATGACAAAGGTGCTGGTCAGTCCCAGGCACTGACTTTTATTGACAATCAATTGGGTTAGAGGCAAGCTATGCGTGGTTTCTATGGAAATTAATGTAAACAAGGCTCATAAAGGACAAGACAAAGCATTCTCGAATTAGGAACAGAATAAACAGAGTACATGGCTGTAATTAGAACACTGTCCTTCTAGTCAGAAGGTTTTAGTTGTGGGGATGGAATTTGGGTTCCAGTTACTCTAACCAGGGCTCCCAGGCTCCAGCTAGACACACTTCTATAAACAAGCCGACTGGGGTTAGCTCTTCCCAGCCTGCCTTGGGCATGATCAATATCACGGTCCTTTGCCCTCCTCAGACAGAGGACTAACATCTAGAATATATTAAGAACTCAAAAAACTCAGACCCTCCCGCCTCAAATTTAAAGACCCAATCCAAAAATGGGCACCTGAAATGAATAGACACTTCTCAGACAAAGAAGTAGAAATAGCAAATAAACATATGAAAAAATGTTCAACATCACTGGCCATTGGAGAGATGCAAATGAAAACAATGCTGAGATTCCACCTCACCCTAGAAAGAATGGCTGCTATCATGAAATCAACCACTAACAAGTGCTGGGGGGGCTGTGGGGAAAGAGGAACCCTGCTCCACTGCTGGTGGGAGTGCAGACTGGTGCAGCCACTATGGAAATCAGTGTGCAAATTCCTCAAAAAACTAAAACTAGGGCCAGGGATTTAGCTCAGTGGTTCTGGTGCCTGCCTCGAAAATGCAAGGTCCGGAGTTCGATCCCTGGGACCAAAAACAAAAACAAAAAACCTAAAACTAGAGGTTCCATTTGACCCAGCTGTTCCCCTTCTAGGTATCTTCCTGAGAAGTTAAACATATCATACCACAGTGATACATGCATACCCATGTTTATAGCAGTATAATTTGTAATAACTAAATCTTGGAAACAGCCCAAAGGCCCATCAACAGATGAATGAATAAAGAAAATGTGGTCTTTATACACAATGGAGTACTACTCTGCCATAAAGAAGGATGAACTTGAGTCATTTCTAGGTAAACTGATATACCTCAAGACCATAATTTTAAGTGAAATAAATCAAATTAACTAAACACAAGTTGAAATATTGCATTGTTTCTCTTGTGTGAGAAACCCAAAGGGAAAATAAGGAGCAAAATGGAGGATAGATATTGAGAAGTAGGAAGAACTTGTTCAAATGGGAAGGGGAACAAAGCGGGGGGGGGGAGGAAAAGGTTAAAAAAAAAAAAAAAGAACGGAAAAGAAAAAGTAGAAACAAACCTTTTGTAAATGGGGAGGGGAAGAAGGGTTGAAGGGAGGGGAAGAGAATGCGTTAAAAAAGAAGAATTAAGATATATTACGTAGGGCTGGGGATTCAGCTCAGTGGTTCCGCCGCCTGCCTCACAAGTGCAAGGTCCCGAGTTCGACTCCCCGTACCAAAAAAAAAAAGACATATTATGTACAGGTACAAATACCCCACATGAATGTGATCATTACGTATGAAAAATATGTACTAATTTTAAAAATAAACAGCAACAAAAGATTCAATAAATAAGACCACATCAAATTAAAAAGCTTTTGCACAGTAAAGGAAACAACCAACAGAGTGAAGAGACACCTACAGAATGGGAAAACATTTTGCCAGATCCTCTTCAGAGGACTACTATCTACAATATACAGAGAACTCAAAAAAATTAAGACCACCCCAGGATAAAAGATTCAATCCAAATGGGCAACTGAGATGGACTGACGCTTCTCAGAAGAAGTGCACATGGCCAGTAAGCACCTGGAAAAGTGTCCAACATCTCTGGCCACTAGAGAAAAGGAGATTAAATCCATGAAATTAAATCAATACTGATTCTATTTTACTCCGGAAAGAATGGCATCATCAAGAAACCAAACAATAAAAAATGCTGGTGAGGCTATGGGGAAAAGGAGCCCTTCTCCACTGTTGTTAAGAATTAACTAGCATGGCCACTATGGAAGGCAGTAGGAAGGTTCCTCAAAAAATTTAAAACAAAAATTCTGAGTTGTGGAAATGACCCACATGTGCATCATCAGATGAACAGATAAAGAAAATGCGGCATTTACACACAATGGAGCACTACTCTGCCATAAAGAAGGATAAAGTTAAGTCTTTTGTAGGAAAATAGATGCACCTTGAATCCACAATGTTAAGTGAAATCAGACACACAAGGTTAAAAATCATATGGTTGGGCCAGGGAGGTGGCTCAGTGGCACTGTGCCTGCCTTGCAAGTGCAAGGTCTTGAGTTCAATTCCCAGTACCAAAAAAAAAATCGTATGGTTTCTCTTACATGAGAAACCCAAAGTATAAATAAATCAAAGAGCAAAATACAAGCTAGAAAATAGGAAAGAGATAGATCTTTGGCAAATGGGAAGGGAACTAAGAAATGTGGGGGAGGGGGAAGGAGCGAAGGGTTAAAATGTGTTATGTTCCAACGAGCTGCCATAGACATACTAACGAAGAATGCCGCTGCTACTAAGATGACAAGTTTTGTTTGTTGTTCTGAGCCCGGAACCTTGTGCGTGCTGGGCAAGGCTCTCACTGAGCTACACGCCTCCCCAGCCCTTTTCAAGTTTCACTAAATTGGCCAGGCTGGCATTAAACTTGTGATGCTCCTGCCTCCGCCTCTGAGTAGCTGGAATCACAGGGTGTGCATGATGCCCGTGGGGGGCACTGCTGAGCAGTGTGGCCTTGGAGGCAAGATCAGAAGCTGCCACGCCTGACACTTTCTGGCTCCTGGAGTGGCTTCAGAAAATAAAACCACAAATAAGCGAAGCCCTGGCCTCACCGCTCCTCACTACCAGGCTCCTGCTGACACCGTCTTCTCTGCGAAGCCTGCCTGTCTGCATCCCTACTCCCAGCCTAGAACTGCAATCCTCCCATTTGGCTGAAGGTGGTGATGTGCTTCCCTGGCCAAAAGGGTTCCCACTCTTCTTCTAGTGTCCAGACTACTGCCCAGAACAATCCTGCCGAGGAGCTCAGCCTCCCCAGCTTCTACATTTCCTGTTGGGCTCTTGCTTCAAGCCTAAGGTTAGAGACATCCTTCTCAGCTTCAATCAGCCCCAAGTGTTCCTAAAGGTCCAGTGGGGGCCTGTCACTTACCAAGCAGTTCGCTTGTCTTCTCGTCGTATTCTTCAGCCATTTCCTTCCCATCTGGAAACAAATAATGGACCTTTCTTCTTCCTACATGCAAAGCAGAAGGCGCCTATCTCAGAGCATTCCTTTACCTTGCCCCTTGCTGAAGGAGATGCCTGACGCAGAAACAGTGGCCCCCTGGAGTGCTGAAAACCATGCCTGAGCACCTCCATGAACTCCTTACAACCGACCCTCAAGGACTGCAGGCCATGTGCCTGAGCGCACTCTGGGCATCTTTGCTCAGCTGTTTCCTCTACAGTCACAGCACCACACTTCTTCCCATCTGCAGGACTCGTCCTCACCCTTCAAACTGCAGCTCACATGTCACTTCCACTGTGAAGTCTCCCTTCACTACCACCTCCCACTGCCTTGGCAGAATCCACTGCTTCCCCATCTGGGCCTTGCTGCTTTATTTGTATCCACAGCAGAGCATTTATTACCTACTATGACATTTTTTAAAGCACTCAATGTGAACATCAAATGTCTTTCCCCAGTTTCTAAAACTAGACTATGTGCTCAGGGTCCAACCAGGGCATCCAGAGCCAGTATGTCCCCCAGCTATGCACTGCTCTGTCTTCTTCCACACATCTCCAGGCCATTTGTGAAAGAGTGAATAAATATTGATGCACTACCCACTGAAGAATAGATGAATCCAAGGATGTTTCCTAGCCCAACTTCTCTTCCCACACAGAGATCATAAGCATTTGCTTAAGGGCTGCTATGTAATTTCCTCTTCCTTTCTGCAGACAGGTAAGTAGATACAGGTCTATTCAAAGACGAAAAAATGGCACCAATGCCAAGTAGGCACATAAGCTTCAAGAATTAGAGGCATATAGTGGCTTTTTCCTGTCTAAATCACTCCTCTAGGACAGTTCCCTTGAGTCATTCCTAACTTGCATTTCAGGAAAATTCACCCCAAATTTGAAGGGCCTCTGGGCAGATTCTTAGGATCCACCACACTAAACCATCCGGATGGTTCCCAAGAGCTGGAAGGGCTTTCCTGTCAGGAAAGGGGTACACGGCGAGGCCTGCAGGTAGCTGAGGATGTCTGGCCAGAACATTACTTCTTCTTGGCATTGTGCCCCCCCACCCGACCTCTCCCCATACCGGGGATTGAACTCAGGACCTTTCACTTGGTAGGCAGGCGCAGTGCCACTGAGCTACATCTCCAGCCCCTGGCTTCCAGTCTTGAGTTCAGACAGAATGCAGTATTTGCTGTCACCCCAGGCACTTTACATGTTTTATTGAATTTTATTCTAATAATTCCACGTCTCCTATATTTCACAGATGAGGAAAACTGAGATGTAAAGGGCATGAAACTTGTCCAAGACCTTAAAGCTAGGAAATGACAGCCGGGGGCTTAAATTCTTTTGGGGCCAAAGTCTAGGTTCTAATAACTATACTAGAATAATGTGTATGGCTTTAAATATTTGTAAAGGGGCAGGGGATTTAGCTCAGTGGTTCCGGCGACTGCCTTGCAAGCGCAAGGTCCTGAGTTCGATCCCCAGTACTAAATAAATAAATATTTGTAAAGTTGAACACTGTTCCAAGGGTTTACTGGACATTTTTTAGTGAGTCACCTGTGTATGGCCCCACACTCCTGGGGAGGGCAAGTCTGAAGGTAGTTTGGCAAAACATATCTATATATTCAATACTGTATTATTTTTTTGTTTTGGGAAACAAATCCTAACATCATCATTTTTGATGCTACAAACGAAAAGAATTTAACACAATCCTGGGTGATGAAATACATGTTTAAACACTGTCCTGTGACCAGCAACAGTAAAAATAGGGATTTTAAATAGGTATTTGTGCATTTGTGTTCACACCATTAGTCACAATATTCAGAAGGTGGAAGCCATTGAGATATCTGCCAACAGATGAATAAGTGAAATACTATACACACACACACATACATACACATACACACAGTGGGGATATTATTCAGATTTAAAAAGGAAAGATATTCTGACACATGCTAAAAAGATGGATCTTGAAGACATTATACTATGAGAAACAAGCCAGTTTTCAAAGGACAAATACTATATTGTATGATTTCCACCTTCTTACTCTTATATAAGATTCTTAGAGTAGTCAAATTCATAGACATAGCAAGCAGAATGGTGACTGACGGGCTAGGGGGAGGGAATGGGGAGTTAGATTTAATGGTTAAACAGTTTCAACTGAGGAAGATGAAAAGGTTCTAGAGATGCATCGTGCTGACAGCTGTAAAGCAATGTGAGTATCCTTAATTCAACTGAATAAGCACACTTAAAAATGGTTAACACGGTATATTTTGTGGTATGTGTTTTTCACCATTACAAAAATAAGCAAAACCACTGCCCTATGAGATAATGCCCAGAATCTTCTATGTGCCATAAGAGATTACAATATGCCCTAATTTATCTACAATTTCTCATTTTCCACCAATTCTCCTCATTGCTACTTCAGAAAAGGGACCCTTTTATTCACCCTTGCATACCAGTACCTAGTACAGTAACTCTGTAGCTGGCTTGTTGACTGGTGAATGCTTTCACACCACTAAATGTTTTGTTATTCCTCAAGTAACCAGCTGTAAACTTTCACACCTCCATGCCTTCATGTGTATGAAAGTCATTCTTCCTCAAATAACAATCCCTCTATGTTCATTAAACACCTATTAATTCCCAGGACCCAGAATATCACCTTACCTATTTCCAGAGATGATCATTTCCATCTTCTTGCTCTTGCAGCATTTTATGCAAGGTTCCAGCTTTTATTTTACACACACTATTATTTATTTGTATATCTTTTTCCTGACCACTTTGTGAGCTCTGGGGAGAACATGTCTTTTTCTATCTGGTCTAGTACAGAGCTTGGTACACAGTTAAAAGTTTCCCTAAATCTTGCAGAGACAAGCAAATAAGCAGCTGATCTTAATTTCCAAAAACCCCAGACTTCCTTGATTGGCCTCTACCTGTGAGTCCACAGCTGTTACCGTTAAAGCCTCAGAAATTCAGACCCAATTCACCTCAGCTGTTGGGTTCAAGAAAGACCCCTGAAGTAGAGGGGACCCTACGCTGGTCAATTCTAGGATGGGGAAAAGCCTGGGGTTCGTAGCCCTGCGCCAGTTGTTCCAGGCACGGCCCTTGGTCCTTGTTCTATTTCCCCCAATGATCCAAGGAACACTGAGAGATTCATTTCACAAACATAACCATACAACTGAAACAGACCTCACAGATTACAGTGGTAGCAATTAATGGCAGAGTGGAACTAGAGCCCAGTTTCCCACCCCTCTGACACCAGGCTGGCATCGGTCATAGAATCTCCAGACTGAGGCTCACAGGGTCCAGGCCAAGATCCACTTGTAGCACTAACTGGCTGGGGTAGCTGGGGCTGGCCTAAAACCTTCCTGGATTTCAGTTTCCTCGCAAGACGGGGTGGGAAATTATCCTCTCAGGACAGCAATAAGGAGCAAATGGGAAAATGAATGTGAAAAGAATGTATTAGCAACAAAATTCAAAGCGAAGCGAGATGGTGTAGGGAAAACTGGGGTGTCTAGAGAAGTGGGTTCCGGTCCTGTCATCTCTCTGGGCCTCAGTTTCCTCATCTCCAAACGTAGGAGCTGGCCTGGCTGACAGCCCACTCGGACCCTGAGGCCCTTCCCGGGGCTCCAGCGCGGAGACCCGGATCCTGAGGGAAGATTCGAGGGAACTCGCATTACCGTCCTGCAGCAACGCCGTCTTCTCGGCCGCCCGCAGACTCTCCAACCAGCCAGTCACCGCCATCTTCACTATGTCCGGCCGCGCGCCCGGCCGTTGCTGTGGTAACTGCTCCACCGAGGGTCACTTCCGGCTGACCCGGAAGGTGTTTGCGCACTTGCCATTCCCGCCCATTCCTTTGTAGGTTCCCATTGGCTCCCCTGGTAAGTGGTTTGCCCTCTCTGCCAGGTGAACGGCTCGGCCAGAAGTTGGCCGATCCGGGGCCCAAGTCTGAGGGTGGGACACCAGCCCTCCTCTGACTCGCAGCTGGGAGTCCCTGGCCGGCGCCAGCTGCACTCGCCGCGGCTGCTCCGCACCTGCTCTGGTGTTCGCCCCAGCTGTGAGGCTGAGTCTCCCCAGTCCCGGAGGGCACCCCACACCTGCTGCGGCCTCGCCGTCTACCTGCAGCTGCGGGCCTACACCCCAGCGGAGAGGCAGGAGCCGGCGTTCCCAGGGACCCCTGAAGCCCTGCTCTCCGCGTCTCTGCGAGAGTACATTGGGAGGAGAGCGGGACTGCGCGGGGTTTCTGTGCGATGCCCACCGGTCTCCCCTCCTTTGGGAAAGGAAGACCTTCCTAACGCTGTGGCTCCATTTCCCAGCTTGGGGTCTCTTTCCCAAAGACGTTTGAGAGTGCCATGCAGCTGGGGCGGACACTGAGCTGTCAGAGCGACCCTTCTGAGGAATGATATTGTTTCTTCCCCCCAGGAGCAGCAGCCTTTCCCTCGCTTCCTCCAGTACTCTACCTTCGAAAGGCTACTGAGCATAGAATCAGGCTTAAGGCACAGAAGTTTAGTTGGATTTTCATCGACTGCTGGGCTGTGGTCCCTGAGGCCTGGTCAGTAGAGACCTCATCTCTGTAGGCAAGGGAGGGATTCAGTTTTGGATTTCTCCGTGACATCTGCCCTGCCCAACCCTTAGACGGAAGAGCCAGGGTCCAGCCATACTTCAATGGACCCCAGGGGCATCTTGAAAGCATTTCCCAAGAGAAAGAAAATAAATGCCAATCTGCCATCAAACGCACCTGCAAAGATTCCCAAGAGACAAGAGGGAGAAGAATCAGGAGGTGAGCTGACACACCCTCAGAATTCATGTGCTTGAACCCTTGGCCCTCCTGTTGTTCAGATTGTTCCTGTCCAGAACCAGATACTGGAACTGATGCTCCCTGTCAAGAGTGGGCAGCTCTGCCTGTGCCTGCCTTTGCTAGCCTTGGTCCCCTGTCTTTGACTTGCTGTGCTACCTTCTTCCCCATAACCTCCACAAGTCAGAAAATACCCCTTGGTCCCTCGGGAAATGACCAGTTGAATTCTTTGCTCCCCCAGGAGGCTGTCCCCAGGGTGGAAGAAATCCCCTTTGGGTCATCTTGTTTTGCAGCCAAATTGACAAACTGTTGGCTGTAGCAGTGCCTGTAATGCCAGCCCCTTGGGAGGCTAAGGCAGGAAGATTGAAAGTTTGAGGACAGCTTGAACAACATAAACATCTAAAACATCTAAAAACAAATAGATGGCAGAGACTTTATGGGGTTGGGAGTGGGGATCAGTTCTGCTAGACTGTGGACAAAGGAAATGTGCCTTTGTGAAAGAATAAATGATAAAGCAAAGGAGTGTCCTGAACTGTAGTTCAAAGCAGGGAGGAGGCATGTATTTATTCATTTATTCAACAAATATTTATAGGTTATCAACAATGTGTCAGGTTGTGCTAGGGAACAGGACATGAAATGTTTGTGCTTTGCTTTCAAGTGATGGCTCATGAGGCGATTGGCTGTATGTGTGTCATAGAATCCCCGTAAGGCAGGCAGTCTGGGTGCAAAGAAAATGATTGCTTGGGAGAGAGGAGACTGAAAATGGTTCATTCTGATCGTATCTAAAAGTTATGAAAATAGGCATCTGGATGTCCCCTCCACAGAATGGCTGAGCTCCCTGCGTGTCCACGTTGTGCCCACTGGCATTGGACGGACCCGGGCAGAACTCTTTGAGAAGCAGATTATCCAGCACGGTGGCCAGATATGCCCTGCCCAGGCCCCAGGGGTCACTCACATTGTGGTGGATGAAGCCATGGACTGTGAGCGGGCCCTCCGCCTTCTCAGACTGCCTTGGCTCCCCCCGGGTACTCAGCTGGTGAAGTCGGCCTGGCTGAGCTTGTGCTTGCAAGAGAGAAGGCTGGTGGACACAGCCAGCTTCAGCATCCTCATCCCCAACAGGTGAGCTGGTCTTAATCTTCTCTCAGATGTTCTGTGGCAGGATCTTTAGCTTTTTCTTGAGTTATTCAGAATAACTATAACTTTTTAAACTGGACATACTAGAAAACTAAGCTTTCAGAGTAGAGAAGGACTGGGGTCAGAGATAGGATGAGACCTTTGGTGTCAACCTTTGTCACCATCCTCCCAGGAACTTGGACCAACCACAGCCCACCAAGGCAGAGCAAGACTCTTCTGCTCCTCCTGGTTCCCATGAGGTTCTGCTGAAGACAGCCTTCTCTTCTCTCAGTGGAGCTGTGTCTCCTCCCCAAAAGGCAGAAGAGGCATCAAGTACCCAAGCTCAGGTCAGGAGCCTCCCACCCCCCATAACTCCCTACCTACGCCTCATTACAGAAATGGGGAGAGCCTGGTGCTTGTTCAGAAAGTCCCAGGCCCCTGACCCAGAGGTCCCTCTTGATTATGAAGCCATTTAGCTCTTCCCAACACTCATCATTCCTGTACCTACCAAGGCTATAGCTACCACATCCCACTGGGGATCCACAAGCATTGGGGGAGGCAACTTGGAACATGGCCCCACATTTAAGAAGCACAATCCTGATGCCAAAGCCCCTGCCTCATCCTTGAGTCTGGCTAGGACACCCCTACAAAGACAGCACCTACTTTCAAGGAGTCCCCTTCCTAGAGGGAATTATTTACTACCTCTTTTCCTTTCCTACCTCCAGCCCAGCTCCAATGATGAAACCAGTGATGTGGAAGGGCCCCAGGTTAGCGCAGCTGATCTGGAAGCACTGATCAGCGGCAACTACCCCACTCCACCTGAGGAAAACAGTGGGCCCGGCCCAGCCCCAGAGGCCCTGGACAAGTGGGTCTGTGCACAGCCCTCCAGCCAGAAGGTGACCAACCACAATCTGCACATCACAGAGAAGCTGGAAGTGCTGGTCAATGCCTACAGTGTTCAGGGAGACAAATGGAGGGCACTGGGTTACACCAAAGCCATCAGTGCCCTCAAGAGCTTCCACAAGCCTGTCAGCTCCTACCAGGTACCCAGGGGCTAGAGGGGTATGTGTGTGCATGTGGGAGTGTCTTCTCTCTACTAGACACCAGTCACCAATGGGCTTGAGGTTTTGTGGTTAAGATTTTATACAGCTAGGTGTCTTAGTCACTTTATCATCACTGAGACACGATACCCAACACCTGCAAGTTAAAGGAGCAGAGGTTTATGTTGGCTCCCAGTTACTCTACCGGTCCACTGGCTCCAGGGCAGAAGGAACGGAACAAAGGAATGCTGCTTACATCGTGGCAGCCAGAAGCAGAGACAGAAAGGACAAATCAGGGAGGAAAATACAGCCTTCCAGGTCATGCCCCCAGTGACCTGCTTCTTTCAACCATACTCAGCAACTTATATTTGCTTATGTCCTAATAGCAGCTCAGCTACAGCACCCGTGTGGTCCAATCGCCTTACAAAGGCCCTGCCTCTGAGTGCATGAGCCTCTCAGGGGACATCTAGATATAAACCATAGTGTCCAGCCCCTGGCTCCCAAAAGACTCATGTACATCCCTGTAGGCCAAATGCATCCAGTCTGTCTGTAAGAGTCACCAAAGTCTGAATAGTTCCAGCATTGCTGAAAAGCCCAAGTCCAAAGTCTCTCCTGAGATTCAAAGCAAATCTTAGCTTTGAGGTTAGCTGTGAACACCTGTAAAAACCAAGAAGGAAGTGGGACACTGCAGACATCCATACAGTGGCACAGGGTAAATATTCCCATTTCAAAAGGACCAGGGGGATAGGAAGAAATCAGACCAAAACAAGACTGAGACCCAGCAGGGCAAACTTCAAATCTTGTAGCTCTGTGTCCGGCACCTGGGGCAAGTTGTGACAATAAGTGAATTCCAAAGGGCTTGTGGCCTCACCCCTATAACATTGCCTATTGTGGCCCTCATAGCCTCTCTCAGGTGGCTTGCACCATGCCTATGGCTTTCCTCTGCAGACGTTCCATGTTCCTGGGTTTTCCAAACGCCTGTGTTCTCCACTGCATTTTCAGCTTCACTTTCACAGCTTTATGCACTCTCAGGGCATACTGCTTGACCTTTTAGTCCTGAAATCCAGGTGGAAGCCTCCATGACCACATAATTCTTGCATACTACATGCTCATAAAACTTGCACCATATGGATGATGCCAAGGTCTGCTGCCTATAGCCAGGCCTTTAATCATGACTGCAGAGGCCTCTGCCTGGATGGCTGAGCACTGTGAAGTGAATCCCAAAGAAACAATTCCCTAGCCTGGCCTTCTTAAGCAGGGCACCCTGGGGCTTTCTTCTCAAAGCAAAGTCTTTCATTTTGGACCCTGGAGCTTATGAAGGGTAAGGTCTTGCTGATTTCTCACATGCCCTCAAGGCATCTTTCCTTTTTTTTTTTTTTTTTAAGGCATCTTTTCTATTGTCCCTGACTTCTTTTTAATGCTATTCTTTTCAACAGCCAAGCTGTTCTCAGCCAAAATTTTACAGGCTTCACTTTTACAGGCCTCAACTTTATAGGAGCTTCCTTTCTGGTGACCAGCAAAATTTTTTAAATTATTCACCCCTGCTTTTTGATCATGCTTCTCACGGGAGACATGGCTAAAAGTCACCTACAGTGTCCATACTACATCCTCAACATTGGGCTGCCTTGAAACTTTCTCTGCCAGATTCATTAATCCCATACCCTTAGTCTCAGTCTCTGGCAAAGTCTCAGAACAGAAGCAAAATACAAACCAATTTTCTGCTGGAGTGTAACATACGTGGTCTGGAGTCCAATTGACAATGGAGTCCATGCTCCCAACTGAAACCTCCTGAGTCTGGCCTTTACTGTCTGCATTTCTATCAGAGTTTTGGTCTTCTGAACTTTGACCAGTCAAATCTGGCTTACAGCATTCTAGGGTTTCTCCAGCCACTGTCTCCAAGCATTTTCAGACTCCCCCTGCAAGCCAGGTCCAAAGGCTTCCGAGCCACGTGGTCTAGTATCGTCACAGGAATGACCTCCCTTTCCTGGTACCACAGTCTGTCTGTCAGCCATTTTCCCATGGCCAAGACACAAAGCCTGACACCCACAACGTGAAAGGAGAGGTTTATTTTAGCTCACAGTCATAGTTCATAGCCTGCTGGCTCCAGGGCAGGAACAGATGGCAGAGGGGCACACTAGGGGAAAGCTGCTCACTAGTGACCAGGAAGCAGAGAGAAGGAGCGGCCAGGGAGGGAGATACACCCTTCCAAGTCATGGACCTCTTCTGACCAGACCCACCTCCCTGCAGCAAGTGCTAGCCCGGCCCAGTCCCCTTCCAGAAGTGCTGCCTCTGAGCATATGAGGCCCTCGGAGGGCCTCTAGATAAATAGCCTAACATTAGGCTTTGCATGAAAGAAACAAAACAGGAATGCGATGATGGTGGACTGACACAGTCGTGATAATTGTTCAGGGTGGATGACAGGTGCCTGCGGGTTTGTTATCCTGTTCTCTTTACATTTGAATTTTTTATATGATAACATTTTTTAAAACAACAGTTCAGACTCTGAAACCAAACAGACCATCATCACTAATGTGTGACTAGGTAAGGTACATAAACTCTTTGAGCATCCATTTTCTCATCAATAAAAGCAGATTAACAGGAGGAACCCAGGCTTAGTGCTTTTTTGAGGAAGACGGAGATGGTGCCGGAAGCTTAGAACTGATGTCCAGTAAGCCCTGTCAGTGTGTAATGGTAATGAAGGTGGGCGTGGTGACTAATTATATTGTTAGTCTCCCTCCAGGGGGGAGCCAAAGGCAGGTCACCCAGACTGTATTCCTCCGCACTTCAACCTGTATTCCTCCGCACTTTGCTTCGGCTGTGCCCTGCCTTCTGCAGCTGCACGGAGCCAGGCTGGCTTCTGGCAGACAGCTCCCAAAGAAGTCAGCTTCCCTGCTGCCACCTCTGCCCTCCTCCCTTTTCCTCCAGGAAGCCTGCAGCATCCCTGGGGTTGGGAAGCGGATGGCTGAGAAGATCATGGAGATCCTGGAGAGTGGGCATTTGCGGAAGCTAGACCACATCAGCGAGAGTGTGCCCATTTTAGAACTCTTCTCCAACATCTGGGGAGCCGGCACCAAGACTGCCCAGATGTGGTACCATCAGGTTGCACCCTGGTCCAGCTGCCCCTTCAGTATTGCTGTGTCTCGCAGTCCTGCCCCAGAGCCCCCTTGCCCTGAGTACTTGAGTTGGCCTAGGTGTTATTTTCTTCCTCTGCATGATGGGAATGACCCCCAGCTAATGGGAGACCACTTTTCAAGAGGAGCAGGGCTTACATAGGCCCTTCTCCTGGCACCCAGAACAGCCCATGGCTTGGTATCCTTGAGGTATACGTAGGAACAGGAAGTGTTTCTCTGCCCCGCAGAGCAGCATAGGTCTTCCTGAGTAGCTCAGGCCTCCGGGCTCTCAAACCTGCTGTGCTCCGAATGGCCTGGGAGCCTGGTAACAATGAAGAGGTCCAGCGCCGTCCCGAGCCCAGTGTTTGTGGAGTAAGCTGTGTCCTCCATGCCCCTGCCATTCCCAGGACCACTGAGTAGGACTCACTCGCCCCTGGGCTTGGCCCTGCCTCAGACCTTGCCTGGAACCCAGACCAACAGAAGCCTCCTGTGCCTGCTTGTTCATCAGTCTCAGATCCTGATAGCCTGCCTCCCTCTTGCTGCTTTCTCCCAGGGCTTCCGGAGCCTGGAAGACATTCGCAACCAGGCCTCCCTGACTGACCAGCAGGCCATTGGCCTGAAGCATTACAGTGACTTCCTGGAACGCATGCCCAGAGAGGAAGCTGCAGAGATCGAGCAGACAGTAAGCAGGCAGCGGGTGTCCCGGAGCAGTGGGGGACCTGAGCCCAGTGAATAAGGCTCCAGCCTAAGCTTAGAGCCCTTGACCTGTCTGACTGGGAAGCCCAGCAGGCCAGACACTGTGGGTCCCCAGAGGTTGGGAAAGAGTCAGTAGGGACCACAGCTGCAGGACCCGCCGGAGGTGGGTAACTCCAGGGAAGCGCTGCAGACCTGCCCCTCTGTTGAGAGTTCGCAGCAGTCACACAGTGTGAGCGCTGGGTGGCATCAGGGCTAGAGGTGAGCTGGTATTGCTCCAGTTACCCAGGGTGCTGGAACCAGAGCAGGCCTCGTTAGGTGGGTCAGGCAGAGATTCTCCATGCTTTCTCATTGAGACTCCTTTGAGCACCTGATGAAAACAGTGGACTCTCACCCCTACCACTCGCACATGCACACTACACAAGCTCTGTGTCTTTCCTGACCTGTCTTCATCCTGGGCTGGGTTGGTGTAGCCACAGGCCTGGCTGGACTGGTTAGGGTTATAGGAAAGTGGCCTTGGGAATAGGGTTTTTTGTTTGTTTTGTTTTGTACTGGTGATTATTGAGTTCAGATTTGTAGTTGTCCAAAAAATAAGGTTTGACGAAGGGTTTGGTTTAGAACTGGGTTGCAGACAGTCTGTATAAAATCTAGAGTAGAGAGACAGGGTACCTTAGGACTAGGAGTGTCATTTGTTCAGCTGGCTTCAGGATTAGGGACTGGAGTTGTAGGGGTGACTTTGGCCAAAGGTCCTGGTGGTAGGATTCCTGGGGAGCTGGCCCATTTTAGGAGATCAGACTCTAGCTATGTCTCTGGTCTTGGGAGTATGGAGCAGGTGCAGATAGATGGACAGGCCTCTTTGCCCACCAGGCATCGGTGCTGGTGATGACACTGTCACTCGGCCACGGGGTCCAGGCACAAAGAAAGCCCCAGCCTGTGGGAACGGAAGAGGATTCCCCCTGGCCCCCCAGGTCCCCTAGGGCTCCAGCCTCAGGGGGTTGATGGAATTACACTTCTAGGCTGATTCCTCTCATTCTCCTAGGAGGCCCAAGGGGGCCTGAGGGGATTAGCAGGGCCTGCCTGTCAGAGCAATTGAGGTGTCATTGGAGGTGTCCTGGCTGCGGTCTCCAGGGCCCCAGAAATCTCTGTGTTCTGGGGCAGAGTCAGGGAGATATCTGCATACGAAAGGCCCAGTGTCTGGCTGCAGCCTAATGGGTTTATTTATTTATGTCCCTGCTGTTCAGGTCCACCCAGGAGGGCTATGGGCGGCTTGCGGAGGCCCCTCCATTCCTTTCCTTTCCTTTCCCACTGGTCCAGTTGTCTTTCTGTACTGTTTTGTCCCAGGCTGCTGCTTGGGCTTCAGCGCCTGCCCATGTCCTCTGCCCTCAGCTGCAGATCTGTGCCTGAGCCTCCTGGCACCTGCCCCACCCTGAGTGGAACTGCACGGCCCGGCACGGGGTGTGAGCTGGGGCAGGGCCAAGGGAAAGCAGTGCGCCTCTGCTCTCGCTCCTGTGCTTGTCCTGTCCGGGGAGCAGAGGTGCCCGGGGCAGACTCCCTCGGCTGTCTGTCGAGGCCTGGGGATGGGCTTGCAGGCGCAGTGTGGGCCCCTGGCTCAGGGAGAGCACTCTGCTGCCTCGGGGAGGAGCCCTGCCCTTCTCCCGCCCTCTTGGAGGTCCGGGTGGCAGCCCAGGCCCTCAGTCCTGGACTGTGGTGTGTGGCGTGCGGCTCCTACCGGCGGGGGAAGCTGACCTGCGGAGACGTGGACGTGCTCGTCACTCACCCAGATGGTCGGTCCCACCGGGGCATCTTCAGTCGCCTCCTGGACAAACTTAGGCAGCAAGGTACGTGCGCCACCTCGGGTGAGCAGGCTGCCAGGGCGGGAGAGAAGCCCCCAGCCGCCAGGCCGAGTCCCCTGGAGGGCAGGTGGGCAGAATTCTGGAACCCTTGGGTGGGTCGGGAGAGGGCCCGGTGCCAGCAGGGTCATGGCACAGGTGGGCTGGGAGCAGATCGATCCCGGGGCTGGCCTGGCGCTCGTCCTCCCAGCCCTTCCCCTTTGGCCAGGGTTCCTCACGGACGACCTGCTGAGCCAGGAAGACCACTGCCAGCAACAGAAGTACCTGGGCGTGTGCCAGCTCCCGGGGCCAGGGCGTCGGCACCGCCGCCTGGACATCATCGTGGTGCCCTACAGCCAGTTTGCCTGCGCCCTGCTCTACTTCACTGGCTCTGCCCACTTCAACCGCTCCATGCGGGCTCTGGCCAAGACGAAGAGCATGAGCCTGTCAGAGCACGCCCTCTGCACGGCCGTGGTCCGAGACACGCAAGGCTCTAAGCTGGGGCCTGGCCACGTGCTGCCCACCCCCACGGAGAAGGATGTCTTCTGGCTCCTGGGCCTGCCCTACCGGGAGCCAGCTGAGCGGGACTGGTGACAGGGCTGCACGGGCACACAAACACCCCTGCCCAGAACCCCTCCAGCCTCAGCTGGCCGGGCCTCCCTGCTTCAGCCAGCAGTTGTGCTTGGGGGGCAGTCAGGCTCTCCTGCCTCGCTGGTTCCCCAGCAGAGTCCTGTACGCTTCTAGGTCCGGGCAGCAGCCCAGGCCTTGCACGCAGCCCCTGGTGCCCAGTTAGGCCGGAATGGGGGCTGGTTTGAAGCCAGCTTCTTGTCCATCCCCTTCCCACCCTGAGAAAGGTACAGCTGCCGGGGAAGAAGGAAGCAGCTGTGGTCCAGCATCAGCCAAGACCCTTCGGAGGGCCCACACAAGCTCCCTGCATTCAGCGGCTTCCTCTGCAGCTAGAGATGCTGGAAAGCGGGTGCCCCGGGCTCTGGGAGGGTGGTGTCTGCAGGCCCAGGGGCCCAGTAAAGTGCACTGGACACTCAGCCTGCCTGGCCTGTGTGAGTTGCTGTAGCCCCTCCATCCGTCCCCTTCCACCCAGGCAAGACAGAGATGGGAGCCAAGTGGAACGGAGGCAGGCACTGTGAGTTCCCCATGGGGGCGTGTGTCCTGTCCAGCAGCTGAGCGCCCCAAAGATCTGCCTCTCAGTTACTGATCCCAGGGTGGAGGACGGGCCTCAGCCTGTCCCGCCCCAGCCCAGTCCTTCCTCACTGTCCTTGAGCCAGGGCTGACCCTGGCCAGGCCACAGTGTGGTGGGCAGAATAATGCCCCCAGGTGTTCATGTCCTGATCCCCAGAGCCAGTGGGCATACTGCCTTTCTTAGCTAGAGAGACTGTGGCCCTGATGAGGGTTAAGCACCAAGACGAGGTGCTTCTCTTGATTGGCAGTCTTGGGTGCAAAGGGGTGTAAGAGCTGAGATGTGTGGTGGACAGCAGGCTGGGGATGTGAGCTCAGCTCGAAGGTGGCAAACGTGGCCAGGCAGCCTGGAGTGTGGCAGCTGTGCAGATGGAGAAGACAGAATTCCACTTGTGGGTCCCACTTGGCCCTCCGGGGGGGACACAGACCTGCAGACGCCTGCTTTATCTGAGCATCCCGTGTCTGATCTTAGACCCGCAGGACCGAGAGGACAGCTTCGAGTGTGTTAGGCCAATAAGCTGATGGTGGCGTTGCTGCAACAGTGGTGAGCAGAGGGCAGGGCAGCGCAGGTCCTGCTACAAGCCCTCTGCTGAAGTGCAGCTGCTGGGGCGGGGGGGGGGGGTCGCCCTGGAACCTCCGCCCTCTCTCCTGCTGCCATGGGCTCAGGCCGAGATCCTTTGTTTCAATTGCCCTCTGACACTTTGTACCCAAGATCCAGGTCCTTCCGGGCTGCTCGGCCCTAACCTGGCCCTGGCAGCCAGTAGCCTGATCTTCTAGGGTCTTGGCCACAGTCTTACCCTGAAAGGGGAGCAGCAAAGCAGGCTTGCACCTAGGTTCTGGCTGCTCATGGGGAGGGTATAGGCACAGGGCCAGGGCCCTCTCGGCCCACACCCAGAATGGCACTGCAAGGTTGCCAGCCCACAGTTCCCGGGGCTGCCCCTTGGACCTGCTTCTGCAGGACTGTGGCACTGTGCATGGAATGGGGTTTGAAGGCCTTGCCTCACCCCCTTCCCTCCACTCAGGAAGGCCTCAGGCAGAAGCGACAGCATGGGTGACCTGTGCCCCTAAGATTGCAGACCCACGTGGGGGGAGCCAGCTCAACCTAGGAGGACGCAGCACTGAGTCTTCTGGTCTCGAGTCCACTCTGCCCTGCCGAAAACCCAGGGCAGGCCTGGCGCTGAGCTCTGGAAGCGAGGAACCCTCAGGGCTGAAGCCCCAAAGTGCCCCAGATTCTGGGCCAGATCTCACTTGCATCGCCCCCCCCCCGGGGGGGGCCTCCTCAAGCTCCAGTCCCCACTGGACCTGTGCTGAGGCTGAGCCCAGCGGCCCTCTGTGGGGTCATCCCTGAAGACGCCCAGGGTGCCGGGCTGCAGGTGCCTGAGTAGCTGGGGCAGCACCTCTGCCAGCCGGGCCTGGGCCTGGGCAGGGCAGCGTGGCTCCCCGACAACCTCTGCCTCCTGTCCCTGCCGCACACCCCACGTGTGGGCGCCTGGGCGGTGCCTGTGTTGGCTACAGGGTCCTGCGTTCCTGGTGCACTTCCTGGGCCCAGTGCTTGTGTGCTGTGTGTCCCTGTCCCCGCAGGCCCAGGGCAGGGCGAGGTTCCCTGGTGGTCTGGCCAGGGTGTGGGAGGTGGAGACCTGGCTGGCCCTGGCTTGGGTCCTGTGTCCACAGAGGAGGCCGCAGGGTGGGCGCCCGCGTCAGCCTTGAGCGGCCATCAATAGCACTCGGTTAATTAATTTGATGGGAACAGCAGGGACCGCCGTTTGCATTTAGTGAAGTTCCAGGAACTTCCAACCTCATCTTCATAATTGGCCTCATAAATTGTAGGAAAGAGAGGGATCAGCAAAGCGGGAGGGAGGAGGGGCCGCCCGTCCGTCCTTATTTAATTTTATTGCTGAAATTCATCTTTTTAGCCTCCTCCGCCTGAATCGGCTCTCCCTGCCGGATTTGCCTAATCATGATAAATTAATATTCATTTCCCCACCTCTTACCCAGCTCCCGCGCCCGGATGGAGTTGGGGAGGGTCTCCTGCCAGCCCCTCCGCTGGCCCTGGGCAAGAGCCTAGGGGCGGGGGGCCCAAGAGGAGCTGTGTGCCCAGTGAGCGGGCCCCTGGGGCAGGAGGGGTGCCTGGAGCAAGGTGGGGGAAGGCCAAGGATGGATGGAGACTCGAAGGCTGTGGGGGCAGAGAGAAACAATCCCTGCCCGGCAGGCCCGCCAGGAGGCAGGTGCCAGAAGAGCCCGAAAGGCTGAGACTGGGAGCTCACGGGTGGCTTCAAGAGAAGGGCCTAAGGCGAGCTGGGATTGTACGTGAGGCACCGCGACCTGCTCTTCACCCCCTTCGACCCAGCTGGACCAAGGCCGCCTTCCTGTGCGCCCCTGCGGCCTGTGGCGGCCTTCCACTCTCCAGAGCCACTCCGAGCTGGGAGTGCTGCTGGGAGGGTCACCCCTGGCTTCCCAGGCAGTGCGGCCCCCAGGCCTCAGGGTGAGACTTCCCTGTTCTCTTGCATCTCAGTTACGGGAGACCTTGGAGGAATTTCTGATTTCATTCACCTCTGCCCCATTCACAGAGGAGGAAACTGAGGGCGTCCCAGAGGTCAGGCCGGCCGGCCGAGGAGGGATGATGCCTACCCCACCTGGGGGCTGGGAAGGAGCCAGTGTCCTCAGCATGGCCCTGGTGACCCGTCCCCCACACTCTACTCCTCCCTCGAGTGTGGGTGAAACCTCCGGCCCTGACTGTGTCACAGCACGTGGCAGAGGGGCACTATCTGGGTGGTGTGGGCGTGGGAACCCTTTTGAGGCCCAGGGTCTTCTCGGGCTGGTATCAGAAGGGGCAGAGAGAGCTGAAGCAGAAGGACCAGGACCGGGCAGGATCCCTAAGGAGCAGACAGCAAGGACGCAGGGCCTGCAGTGCTGCAACCGCGGGCAGGAATAAGTGAGCCGAGTGCCGCCAGGATCTCAGCTTGGACCCAGCAAGGAGCGAGCCTGCCCGCCGGGACTTGGGCCCTGCAGGAGCGGGCGTGGCTTGTGAAAGTCTGCAGCTCAGTTTGGGAAGCGGTGCTATGCAGTGGTGCTCTGCTGCCTAGGGGAGGCTCTTCGGGAGCGAAGGGCATGAAGCTAAAGTCTGAGGCTCTAACCGGACCGGAGCTGCTTCCCAGTGCCAAGGCCCTCCAGCTCCCTCCTGTTTTACCTGGGACCAAACCTTGGAAGTGGTTCCCTGTGTGGCCCGGCCCAGGCAGTCTGGACCGAGTCGGGAGGAGCCTCGACCCAGCAGCCTGGTCGCCTGCACTCCAGGCCCCGGGAAGATGTTTCTGAGCCCCACTGGAGGGCGCCGGCTTCTCCGGAGGCTGGAGAACCAATTAACACTGCAAGTTAGCGAGGGGGCCCCAGTGAGGAGACCTGGGTCAGCTGCGCCACGGCCCGGGCTTATCTCCTGAAAGCTTTAGCCGCATTTATGCATTTGCCTCCGGGGCCTGGCCAGTCCGTGCTTAACCGAGCTCTGCGATGGATCGTGCCACTTCAGGGGAGCTGTCCTGTACCCACGAAGCCCAGAGAGGTACTTCATTGGTTCTAAGTCACACAGCGTGTTCCATTCAGAGCTCGCCTTCACTCAGATCTCCTGGCCGTTTTCCCTGACTCCACCCTGGCAGTGGCTCCGGCCCAGATCCCCAAGGCGCGGGAAGGACTCAGTCCCGGGCTCCCCTCCCCTCCAGGCTGGGCTCCCCGCCAGGGCCCGAGGAGGCAGCCTCTCGCCCCGGAGAGGCCCCGGCGGCCCGCGGGGAGCTCGCGCGGACCCCGCCCCCCGCCCTCCCCTCTCCCGGTGCCCCGCCGAGCCGACCGCAGGACTTCCCGGTCCGGTAGGCACAGGGCTCGGCCGGCCGGCGGGCGCACCTCCCGAAGTAGCCAGCAGAGGGCGCGCGGGGACCGGCGGGGGCCAACTCCGCCTTGTCCGACGTCCTGCAGGGGGCAGCTACTGCTGATCCGAGACCCCTTGCCTCAGTTTTCCCCGGGCAGTCCTGTCCTGGCTCCCGTGGGCGAGATGAGCGAGTGCGCGGGAACCAGTGCCACCGTCCGCAGGGGTTGGCCGGGAGGAGCGACCCGGAGACCGCGCCTGCCCGGGCCCGCCTGGGGCGTCGCGGGGTGCGCGGTGGACAGAAGGGCTCGGGCCAAAGGTGGCGGGCGGCCCGGCGCTCGAGGAGCGAACCCTGAGCCTCCGTGCCCTGCCCGCCGGGCCCCGGCGCCAAGCAGACGCGTCTCCGCCTGGCGAGCCGAAAGGCGGGCCGCTCGCACCCGGCCTCGGGGCGCTGCTTCCTGTGCCGTCGCCTCCCTCTTAGCTCCCGCCCAGCCGTGTTTTCGCGGGAAGGCCGCGCAGGTAAAGGCCTTGTGCCTCCGACTAGCAGCGGTGGCGCAGTGGCCGTGGAGCAGGTGTGGGCCGGGGTCAGTGGCCTGTGTGCCCCCTGGAGACACTGCGTTCCCCACCTGCGTGTGCGCGTGACTTCGCGACACATCCACCCACGCACTTCTGTATTCACTCAGCAAACAAGTACCAAGGCCGACCCCGTGCTAGGCACTGAGGCTGTAGGGGAAACAGGGGAGTCCAGAGGGGAGGTACCCCGGTGTGCGGTGTGGCGCTCTGCAGGGAGGGCGCGCGTGCGTGGAGGCGAGTGAGGGCGGCAGTTTGGGGTGAAGACTCTAAGCCCACTCCCAGGTCTGCCTACATAGTTTTTGGCGCCAGTGCAAAGTAAAAGTACAGGGCTCTTATTTTAAGAATTATGAAGAATTTTGGGTCGGGGATGTAGCTCAGCGGCGCTGCGCCTGCCTGGCAAGCGCAAGGTCCTGGGTTCGATCCCCG